CCAGTCCCACGAGGGCCTCTCTCCGGTGGCACCTCCGGCTCCTCTATATGGCCTGGTGTCCCACACTGGGCATCCTGGGCACTCCTACAGGAGCTAAGCCCTTACTGGCTCTGGTTCCCTGGAATCACACAGAGGATCTCTCCCTTTCCCGGGCCCTGCTCTTTTAGTTTAATGAGGAGCCACACTGTGGGGCTCGGGTTATTCAGCCTAGAGCCGGGGCTAACTTGAGCAGCTTGGAGCTGCTACAAGGGACAGCTCTCCATGCACCAACCTGCAGATGGGGTGGGACCCAAGCAGCCTCAAACTGCTCCCAAGGCTGGCTCTCCATGTGCTGATCTATGCACTGCCTACCCAGCTACTTGCTGGGTTCACAGGCTCAAGCCACCTTGATTGGCTCCTAGAGCCTGAGCACCACGCACTGATCCATGCACCATCGAGGCTCAGGTAGGGTCCCGAGGACAGTCATCTCCAAAGCTCCTATCTCCTCACCATCCCTCGCCACATCTCTCTCCTCCAGCATGCTGAATACACTCTCCTTTTATACAGTTCAAGGGCTCGACCCCTGAAGTTCTCTGGCCCTGGTAGGGTGTAGTCTCAAACCAGGTCCAGATTGTTCCTTGCCCCCTCCCTTCAAAGAAAGGGCAGGGCTTTGCTTACCCTGGCTTGCTTCTGATTGGTGGATGGGCTTCACCAATCACAACTGCACAATCTCGAGACCAGGACTCATCCGGAGCTCAAAAGGTAAGTTTGTTACATAAACACAAGTATTACCCTATGGTGGCATTATTTAGTGTGCATGTGTAGATGCTGATGAGGCTCGTTGGGGCACAAGGGTGCTTTGGTGAGGGAGCTGCCTGCCAGCTAGCCCCACACTGGAGCACCCTCATGCCTCAGCCAGCCCCTCTGCAGTATGTTGAGCTGGGTCAGGGCAGTCCTAGGTTGGTAAGCTAACACCCACCCCGCCCTTTCCCCTACCAGCCGGGTGTGCTTTGACCTGGCTCAACATGCTTCGGTCCCATGCACATGTGTAAATGCAATGTCTGGGAGCAATTAATTTCACGTGTAGATGTACCCACAGACAGTAACTTTTTGTTGTATCAATAGCCAAAATTACTTATTTTTATTTTCCAAAACACCCTGAGGCATTCACCTACATTGTAGATCAATAGGTTAAAAACAAAACATTAATGGGTATCTCATTGGTTTGGGTTTGGAGGAGCACAGAGAAAAAGCAAAATTTCATGGAAGGTACATAGTTAAAATATTGCTTGGATTTGCACTGGTTACCTATGGGTTTCCAGAAATAGATAGGGATGTTAGGCTTTTGTCTTTAAAGCTTTAGCGTACTGGGGACTTTCTACCTGAAAGTCCAAAGGCAGCAATTTTAAAACTGCCTAGGCAATTAGGTTTCTAAGTCTCATTTTCAAAAGTGACTGGCATTAGGAGACCACATTGCATGGAGAGGCAAATAAAACTAATAAAACATCACTTTTGACATTGATTTGAGTTTATAAAGTAAACGTTGCTTCTAATTAAAAAAATCCAGAAAATATGCAGCTAGAGCAATGATTCTCAACCAGGTTGCCCTGGTATCTTGAGATAATTTCCAGGGTGGCATGGGGTGCCATGCAATGCTAGCACTGTTAGAAGTTCAAACAGGATTAACCAGATAAACCCAGATATTTCAAATACAACTCTGTGAAATTTAGGACTAAAAAAGGATTTTGATTTGAAGCTAAACTGAGTTCTGCTGGTCTCCAAATGTCCTATACTAGCTGTTCCTAATACTAGCCAAAAAAGCTGTCTAAGACAGATACATGCCAATCCTTTTGATCAGCTCTGTCTTGCTGAATATATACTAATCTTTTTTTGGGTGGGGTTGAGGCTAGGGTGGTGAGGAGGGGAACTCAGAAAAGAAAATAAAGCTGAGCTCTCTGAGAAGAGATTAAGTAAAGTCCCGACAATATCCAGTTCACTTGCCCCCTTCCTTGCTAAAATTCAGAAGCCAGCTCAGCTGCCACTACTGTTGATTTCACATACAAGTTAAGGAGCACTGGAGGGGGAGACAACCAAGGGTGGTTTCTGCATTAAACAGATTGACAGGCTGTAGAATCCAAGAAGTCAGAACGATAAAAATAGTACATATGTAAACAAAGCATATGGAGAAAAGCAAATGCATTGAATTAGGATCCCATTGCTCATGAAAATGGAAAGACATCCACAAACTATTAAAACATTCTACTTGATTTACTGTTGACACTCAAGACAGACAATGATTCACTGCAGTGCTAAATTCAAGTATTATTTATTACTAGCCTCTGGCCTAGAATAGGTCTTGGAGCTATATCTCTGAGGTTCACATTCTCTCTGATATTTATAGCCACTAAGTCATGTTTAACTTTCAATTAGTGCAAGGAACAATTCTGTGTTAGTGAATAATACTTATCCTCCAAATGTCAGGTGGATTGTTGTACATTGTTTAGTGTTAGACAATGAGTTTAGAGTAATAAGTGAAGATTAATTTATCTAACTGCAACAGAAAGGGCAATAGGAAATTATGACACATACTAATTTCATAAAGGCTAATTCAGTGTTAGTCAGGGGCCGTGTGTAAACAAAACAAGAGCTGTGTGTGCATGACGCTTTAAAGCGGGCTAAATGCTTTTGCACTACTTTAATGGTGTCAGCGTTTGCATGCCTTAGCAGCGTATTGCACATTAATTCCAGCTGCTGTAGGAAATTCATCAGTGTAATGTGCCTTAAATGACTTGGTGCGCAGCAAAATAAAACTCCTTCGAGGAGTTTTGGTTTGCTGCCCCTATAGCTGTGGAGTGAAGCACCAGGCTCCTTGTAGCTCAGGGGCCCTGCAAGAAGCCCTGCAGGCAGCCTGGCAGCAGCCGGGGAAGGCAGGCTCCACTCAAGAAAAGAAGCAGACCTGATCTTCCACCCACCCCTCAGAGATTGCCTGCCTGCCTAAGCTGCACGGGGGCCCAGTGCTTCCCTTTGTGGCTGCAGTGCCCCCTGGGACTGCCCAAGCTGGTTGTCTGTGGGTGGGGGCTACCTAAGGGGGGCCGCTGCTGCTGCAGAAGGAAGCACTAGCCCCCACCCTCAGCCCAGGGACTGTTCCGCTCACTCTTCCATCCCTGCCGGAGAGACAAGTAAGTCAGCAGGGTGTGTGCACGACAGGCGTGTTTAATCAGCCCTAAATTGTTTTTTAAAACCCACCACTTCAATTTAGGGCCCCTGTTTTGTCTACACATGCCAAAAGATGCCAAGCAGAAATCCTTGAAAATGGAATCTCCCTTAATTCACAAAACAGTGCAGACAATAATTGAGTAAAGCATCATGAATGAATCTATGTTCCACAACTTGTTTAAAATGAACAGCTTCTACCAGCAAGGATAGTTCAGCTTTCATAACAAAATATAGCATTTGGATTTTTTGCTTAGAAATACCAGACTTTTGGTACAAACGTGCAACATGGACATTTTCCCTGGCAAGACTGGAACAAGACCATTTAATCACATGTAACTACCCACCTTTTAGGTGTTTCCATTAATTTATTACTGACCTGGGGTGGATTTGAATCTTTACTATTTAAATTGCACTAGAATCCAAAACTTACTAGTCACTTTCCAAATACAGAGGGAGACACAGTGCCTGGCTTCACAGGTCTCAACAGAGCAGCAAGGATATTGGGAAAAGTGATGCAAAATACAAATAAAGTGATCTCATTTACAAATAACTGATGGACTTGTGTTAATCTGATTACTTTTTTAACAAAGATACATGAAGTTCACCATATGAGGCTAGATATACTGTTCACTTAAATGTGTAAATAGCAAACAGAAATGAGGTGAGGATTATTCTTGGTATCTCTACAGTTAGGAAGAGACACATGATAGTTTTAGGGAAAATAACATTTTCTGTATTCTGATAGTATTTCTTGTTCAATATTAGATTAAACCTACTCTGTTTTTTTGTGATGATGGTATTGGTGATTATGTTTTCGGGGTTTCCTTTTTACTTGTTTACAACTGTCAAACGATATCATTCCATCTATTTCCCTTGTTTGTCTCTGTCATAAATACAGCTTTGTTTCTAGTGATTTGATGTCCCTCTCTCAACCCTGAACCCCATACTTATATGCTAATGAATAACTCACACCATAAGGACTAAGTACAGACAGTTAAAAAGACCAGAGCTGAACCCATTCATCTTTGCAAGTTAGTCTAAGCTGCACAGATTGAACCAATAAGCAAGTGAACAGATATTTATTTTTGATTCCAGAAATGCAGCCATATGGCTGCAGTGGCCCAGGTCAGAAGCCATGGGTACTAGAGCATGCCTCCCTGGTGGGGCAGGCAGCTTGGGCCAAAGCTAGCCTGCCTACCCTGCAAGGTGGGGAGCTTGTGAAGGAGGTGCAAAACATCCTGGGATGCTGGAGGACTGTGAGTTAACTTGAATCTGAAGAGGATCTGGGACAGAAGGTCAATAAACCAATTTAACTTAAATGGGTTAAGTCAGATACTGCATCCATCCAGGCTTGTCTTAAATTGGTTTTGGTCATTTTGAAAGTGATTTATGTCCACTGAACTTCTGTTATGTTACAGATTTGAACCAGTTTCTGATCACTTATACCAGTTTATATGCAATTTCTGTCTCTATCCACAATGTATAATTAGAGATAGTTTATATGACTTTCTCAAATGTTACAGATAAGATGGATTTAAATGAGGCCAAGATAGCATCTTTATGGACCAAAATAGTAAGGGTGCTTTATGCACATGAAGTAATGTGACAATCATCATCTCAGTGAACTTTCCAATGGAGAATGGGATGTAAAATAAGTGTATCCAAGTTTCCAGAGGCAAATAAAGCAAATGCTTACAGTTCTTATTGTAATTTACTAATCAGAGATACACAGTCTTAAGAGGCTGGAACAATATTCGTGCCCACTGTTTAGTGACTGGAAACAAACTAATTACTGTAATGCATACCGAATGAGGAGGCAGTGGCTGTGCTGTATATGGTGGAGGTGGTGTTTCTGTTATTTCTGGATCATCATGTTCACTCTCACTATAGCATTCTGGAGCATAAATATAAAATGAAAGAAAAATTAGACACTCGTTTATTACTTGAACCATCTTGGTAGGTGACGATTCCTTCGCCCAATGCCAAAAACCTCATGAGTCAATGTCTGCTCCAGTTAGAACCAACCAACAGACATGCTATGACAACTTCTTTTATTCTAACCAAATAATTATGGTGAAAATCATCAGAGGGTACTCTTATAAGTAGGCTCATAAAGTTCCTTTTATCTATGTAAACGTACCTTCCATGGCTTTGAAAAAATACTGCATTATATTTTGTTTTGCCATTCGGCAAGACCTATCAAAGCAAAAGGGAAGTTTGCTCACTGCTTTAATCTGACCAAATAGTGTCACTTCTGGAGACAGAGTGACATAGCTCCCTAAGAAATGAGCTGAGACACCTGAAAAAGTAAAATTTCCCACATGCTATTACAAAAACTTTAATTCAACAACTTGTCTCCATATTGTGGAGTAAATAATCTGTACTAGTAGAATACCCAGACTCTACATCTTTCGTCTAATGGGAAGAAGGCCCAAAGACCCCAATATCTGTTGAGTCCCCTGCGGAGTAATAGCAATTTAAAAAAAATTAGGAGGGTGCTAATTTAAAAAAAAAAAGCAGGGACAGAAGTATTTACTGTTGCTATTTAGATGATTTTTAAAAGTAGATTAAAATTAAAAAAGCATTCACAAGTACTCATTTGTATAGACAGACAGAATGAGATACACTAGGCAAAATAACAAATAAGTTTGTAAGCAGATAGTCCTACTGTCACCACAAAATAATGCTGTTTTTCCACTGTACTAAAATCTTTCAGCAGCCACCAACCCTGCAGATGTAAATTCTAGCTGACCAAGTGTATACACTAAAAGACTTTCCTGCATCAACCTCAGAAGAGAATACACATACACATATATGTGATCTGAGTTTAGGAGTTAAAAGTTAAATGAAGACAACATCAGTGAGTAACTGTGTGACTAGAGTAACGAATGCCCCTGTGGTTTCAACTGGAACAAATATTCTTCACTTCCTTTCCTAAAAGCTGTTGATTGTATAATATCAATGTGTTGTTAAAGAGGAGCAGCACCAGCCTGGAGGAAATAGTATCTATATATATTTTACTTAACTTTCAGTCAGTTGGTTAAGTTTAGGTTCATAAAGCAGTTTGAGATGCTTTGATTTAGTGGTGCCATGCAAGTGTGAAACATTCTGCTAGCATCACCTTTTAGTAACTATTAATTATCACAATTTTCAGCCTTATTAACAGTTGAATATTTTCTTTCTTCTTTCTTTCATATATATATAGAGAAAACTGTGTGTCACTTTTTTGCATCTCATGATTGTATGATCTGAAAAAATATTGATAGGTAAAAAAAATATGCAAAATTAAAATCTCAAAAAGATGCTGATGAAGTGATGTTTAGGAGGATGTGCCACCTATTGTGATTTTACACAGTTCCCTGATGCTATTCCTGGTAGAACCATAGGATATAATAACTATTGTTTGGCTTGCTGTAAATATTTGCCAGCTGTGTATCACATTTTTAAATATTATTTAGCATAAGGCACTAAAATGTGATGTAAGTAGAGGGATGTCACAATTCTAAGAAACTATGCACAAATAATTTAAATAACTTTTAATAAGAAAACCTTCTGCAAATCTTGTTGTATCTACACAAATGACACCAGAGAAGCCCTGTTTCTGATACTGTAAACGGATTGGACTGGAGGGCTAAATGCATGGGAAACAGAAAAAAACAGAGTGGAGATCCAAGAACTTCCTCATATGTAGATATTAATTTATGATCTGTGGTATTCAGGGAAGATGTAAGGTGCTGGCAGTGGGGGTGTCCTGGGATTATGTCAGCACTATCTCAATCTGTGGGGCATGTCCCACAGAAGAGTGATAGTTGAGTAGAATGGGGGGCCTTCAGTACCGTATATCATGACTTCAGGGAATCAAATAATTGTGTATTGTTTTTTTTTCCCTGAATGGGGGTCTACTCTCAAAGTTTTTCAAAATGTTTTTTCAAAGTGGTTTTCAAAATGTGAGACAATGTTATGAATGCTCTAATGATGAAGGATTGGAAACTTTATCACCATCACAAGCAGTTAGATAGGCAGAGCTGATTGTGTAGTTTTCATTAAGCACAGCTGACTTTTATTTTGAATAGCATTCTTATTTTCCTTATTCTTCTCTTACTGCAACTGTTACTACTATTACAATCAACACAATCAAGCATATATTAGCTCTTATTTGGTCTTCTAATATGAAGTGATAACCAGTCAAGCTATGTTCTATGTTCACCATTATCTTTCATTCAAGCCATTCTGTTATTCATGGACAGGTCAAGCAGAATTGGACACTTCTCCAAGTAAAAGGACTAGATTTACCCTACTGTACAGTCTAACATTCAACACAGCAATCTTTCCACCACTTTTCCCAGACTGCTCTGCTCCATCAAGTGGCTGGAGGAGAGAAAAAAGCAGTGAGAAAAGAGATCAAAAAAGGCATATGCCTGCAGAAAGTTGGAGCAAATTGGGAGTGGCAGTGTTTTGTTAGGAGAAAGAAGGAAAAACATTCTCTAACTCAATCAAGGCAAAGGAAGCAGAGGGAGACAGTGATACATCAGGCTCCCTAGAGAATCATAATCAATCATTTTTATCAGCACACAGCAATTTGTATTATCACAGTACATTGAGCAAGGTCAGTAAAATTAATGGTAGCATTGTCTGACAAAATCCTGTCTGAAAGTTAATTGTATTTGTGGAAGTAGTGGAAGACCTATGTGAATGAAAGTATGAATTTGGTGCCCAAACACAAATTAGATGAGTCACTTAGGCAATGATCTCCTTGGAGACTAGTACCTGTTACCTTATGTCTACAATGCACATTTGCTGTAGTAATAAATAAACAAATAAATGAATAATTAAATAAAAGGAGACTCTTAGAACATATTAATTCCACAGTTATCAGTTTATTAATCATGGAATCGTAGTTGGTCTGAAAAATCAAATATTTCAGGACACAATTAGGTTATGGTGCTATTAGAAACCTGCAGCAGGCAATATGACACTAGATTGTAGTTTAAAAAGAAAAGAGTTGACAAAAGTCTCACTGTATAAAGAAAACTCCATTTGTTCCATGCCAAAATTGTAAATTTTAAAACATACCTTCTTCATTCTTTCCACTGGATGCCTGAGGAATCACAGCCAGTCCCAGTTTATTTAGCCACCTACAATATAAGCAGGAAGTAAATACATTTTTAGGGAGATTCATGTTTTACTCTCCAGTATCTCTTACCATATTCAGAAACATTACACATATCGCCACAGTTTTTTTTTCATGAGGAAATATGTAGTCAGAAGTGCCATCTTTCAGATAAACAAAGGTCCAATATGACCAAAATTCCAAACTTCACTGGTTCCTTCTCCCAGTGCCCATTCCCCGTGGAGTTTTGACACTTGTGAAAAGGTGCTTGAATACCTGTTACCCCCATTAATTTCAGAAGGCACTCAACACCTTAACAGATATATACACTTATCAGCTCACAAATTCAACCCTTAAAAACTAAGAAACTTTAAGGCTATTTTAAAAATCTCTGAATTTCTAAGCTCCTTCTGGGTATATGAAGCACTAAATTTAGATACTGTAACATTTTTCCTTTACAATTTGGTAATCTTGCCCTCTGATTGAGACCATCCAAGCAGAATAGTACTGGGGCAGTAATTAATTGAAAGGCCTCCCTTTTCCCTTCTTCCCCTCCTCCCCACAAAAAAAAAAATCTGGTGTTGTAGGGCTGCTGCTGACTGAAGATTGTACACAAATCCCCACCAGGAAACTACTGAGGGCACTTTGTGGCCAGAAGTGCCATCTTTCAGATAAGAGCTAAAACAAAGGTGATATGACCAAAATGAATCATTAATGACAATATGAATGTCCTTGTCAAAGGTTCATGGCTCTCTTTGCAAGAGCAGGGTTGTTAACCAGGATTTCCTGACCAAATTCCAAACAAGCACAAAACATACTACCTTCCTATATTACACATAACTTCTGATTTTAGTAAGCTCCACTTCCTGTGTCACTGTGGGCTGTTAGCAATTGCCACATTTCTGTCCCTAGGTGGCTGCATTTCCTTAGTGCATGAAGTGATCCCTGGTTATAGTCTGTATTTTTCTAATTTATAAATCATTGGGATTCTCTGAGATCTAGGCTGCTGCCTACTCAAAAATGTATTCTCTAGCTCTTCAAACTAATCTACAAGACCAAGGAGATAGAGAGAAGAGGAAGGACCAAAAACTAACTTCATTAACTCTTAGATAATGGCGGGCACACGAGATGTTTACTGCACAGTAAGCTAATTAGCTGTGCGGTAAACATCTTGGCATCTATACAAGTACTATCCTGCTGCAGAGTAAAAAACTCCACAACAGCACATGTGTAAATGCTGCCCCATCTGGCTGGGTCCTGCCGGCTACTCTAGCCCCACATAGAAACACCCTTGTGCTCTAGTCAGCCCCTCCACAGCACTGAGTGGGAGGGAGCAGCCCTGGGCTGGCAGGATGACCCCCGGGATCCTCTGCCAGCCAGGGCTGCTCCAACCCAGTTCAATGCACTGTGCTCCTGGATGCATGTGCAAATGGCAATAAACTCTGGAGTTTATTGCTCCTGGGTGCATGTTCAAACAACGCACCTGGGAACAATAAACTCCATAGCAATAAACACCGGAGCTTATTGCTTCGCTTTAACTGCACGTATAGATACACCCGGTGTGTCTGATCTTGTTCCCACTACGGTCAACATATATATGTGCATAACATTGACACATTATAAGAAGCTGTTCCCAGAAAAGCAGTTCCAGTTATCTTTGACCTAACTTCATGAAGATTAACATAATGAAGGGTAAGAATAAAAACTGCAGGGATTTCAACAGAAGATTCTGGCTTAGAAACAAATGGAAATATAGAAATATATCTATTGTGTACATGAATGTCACACTGGTCAATGTGTGCAACTATTTACTATCCAACACATACAAGTGTTTTGTTTGTCTGTTTTTTGTAGAGTTCATTTTCTAAAATATGTACTAAATTAATGAAGGAAATGCTTCATGAATCAACCGTTGATGGTTTAATGGATGGATGCATGAAAGAGTTGTAAACAAAAGCCCTGATCCTCCAAACAATTATACAGATGAGTAACTTTATACACGTGAATGCTTCCAATGACTTCATTGGGACCACTCACACATAAGTGCTATCAGGACTTGAGCCAAGAGATCAGATGCTTCTCTGTATATTTTTAGGGAGACAAGGTTCTTTGGGTAAATGTGATACCTTTTATTAGACCACCTAATAGTTGAGAAAATTGTTCTTTGCAAGTTTTCAAGTACAAACACCCTTCCTTCAGCCACAGTTGTTGTTTTGTGTGCTCTCCTAGGTGGAATAGAAGCCAGTATGCAAAACGCAGGTCTGTGAAAATGCAAATGCGTAGCAGTGAGGATCAAACGCCCTGTAAGACAACAGGTGTGAGACAGGTACTTCGCAGGTGGAGAAGGGAGAATTTGAAGGGGTGATAGAATGTAGCTGCTAAAATGCAGACAGGTTACCTGGGTTATGGGATGGCAGGTAGGTTATAACGTGCCATTAATCCAATGTCTCTATTTAGTCCATGATTTTTTGTATCCAGTAGATTTATGAAGTTAAGTTCATAGACTCACCTATGAAAGGTGTTTTGTAAATTCCATTTGAGGATTAGAACTGAGAGTTTCAAGGGAGGGTGGTTATCTTGTGAGAAGTGTGTACCCACCAATAATTGGGTATTTTTGTCTTTGATAGATTTTCGGTGTGCGTTCATTTTGGTGTGCAGCTGTTGTTTGGTCTCTCCTACATATTTTCCATCTGGGCATTTAGTGCACTGGATGAGGTATATTACATTTCTGGAGGTGCAGCTGTAAGATCCAGGAATGGTGATCTGTTGTGGGTTGTAGTTATTGTGGGGGTGATGGAGATGCATTGGCAGGTTTCACATTTCTTGTCCTGGCATGGTCTAGATCCATTCACTGTGCTTTGGGCCATAAGAAGTTTGCTTCTGGTGATGAGGCTGGTGAGGTTCAGTGTTTGTTTAAAGGCTCGGATGGGTGGTTCTGGAAAGATATCTTTAAGAATTGGGTCTTCTTCTAGTATGGGTTGCAACTGTTTGAGGATTTTCCATATAGGTTCCAGGGAAGGATGGTATGTCATAACTAATGGTGTGCAATTCATGGGAATTTTCTTTTTGTACTGCAGCAGTTCTTCACATGATATCTAAGTGGCTCTTTTACAAGTGCGATCTATGTCTCTGGTGGAGTGTCCTTGTTGGGTGAAAGCCTTTTTGAGATTTGTACGGTGATGATCGCAGGTATTCTCAGTGCAAATTTGGTAGTATCAGAGGGTTTGGATGTGTATTACAGCTTTCTTGGTGTGTTTAGAGTAATTGCTGGTTGTGTGTAGATATGTCGGTCTGTGGGTTTCTTGTATATGGTGGTTTGTATTTTACCATTCTGGATACTGATCATAGCATTTTGGTGTGCATAGCTGTGCCAATGGTCTGGAGGAAGTGTTTCTTATTAAAATAGAAGTTGTTGTGCGAGAGGATAAAGTGTATAAGTTCAGTAATAACTTTAGGTCCATACTCCTGAGTTGTAATAGTGCTCTTGAAGATAAGTAAAGCAGGCCTAAATGCCATCCTGGTGTGGGAGGTTAGTATATAAGCTGGTAACATCCATGATGGCTAGGAGGCTACTTCTGGGAAAGTGGTCTATGTTTTTAAGTTTTCACAGAAAGTTTGTCACATCTTGGACAAAACTCAGTCTTTAGTTCCAAGGTTGGATATTATAGGTCTGCCTGGGTTCCCTTGTTTGTGGATTTTGCAGAGCATGTTAAAAGTCCCTGGATTGGGTAATGGCAGGATCAAGTGTTATAGTTTCTCTAATAGTTCAGATGGAAATGATGTGATGCTGGTTTTGAGTTTTAAGGTATGTGTTTTTGAGCATCTATGTGATTATGTATGTATTTTATAGGTATAACATGTATATTATACATTTCTAGGTGAGGGGAGAAATAAATATTAATACAACAATCAGAAATTAAATACTACAATACATATATATATAGGTTGCTAATACTTATATTAGGCTTGATTTTTATGCCATAATGTAATGTAGTTAAGTAATCAAGGAAAACATCCCTAGGGATAATGGGGTGAGACACCCTCACAGATTAGAATCTGCTAATCAGAGAAGACTAACTACTACACTACTGATCGTTAGACAATGAGATCCTCCAGCTGAGTTGTAAAAATGCCATTACTACATTGTATTCCCTCCAGTGCTCGCTCACTCGCTCTCAAAAATCAAATCCTCTCTCTACTGAAAATCATTTTGCCTAATATTTTCTAACTCTGATTCCTCCTCAGTTTACATGCCTTGAGAGTTTCACATTCCTTTCTGGAGTCCTAAGAGCGATTAACCATCACTCCTTCTATTTCTTGGCATACAGTACTGCTCCCTATTCTTCTAACAATGTGGGTAACATGTAATAATATAGACATTTAAAGCTTTGGGTCATGAGGGGGAGACTTACTGCATGGGAATGGGCTTCAGCTGATGTTTCATTTATCCACTCCTATATTTAAAACTTTAAGATTGTTACCATTTAAACCTATTTAAATCTGATGAAAACTTTAGGCAAGACTGTTTATAGTTGCATCAGTTCAACTGAAGTGCATTCCTGAGCATTATGTCCCCCTCATTCTTTTAAGCTGGTATATCATTATGCCTGCCTACATCCTACATCAGTTCAATATGACTCACAGAAAGTGGCATATTTTAAAACCCGGTATAATTTTTTGTCTATCCACACTCTAAGTTGCAAAAGGTACCAAATAATTCTATAGCAATTTACATTTCCAAAAACATACAACTATTCAGTCTTTTCCCTCCTACTATGAGGTCAAAATGCATTATTAGCCAATTTTTCCAGATAGGAAAAACAGAGGCAAAGAAGTTAGAATAATTTGCCAAGGATCACACCGAAGTTCAGAGTCAGAACCAGGATTTAAATCCTGACCTTCTAGCCACCACAGGCCATTGTCTAAGCCAGGGGCTTTCAACCTTTTATAGCCTAAGTACCCCCAGCAGTCAGCTGCTGAGTGGGGAGGGACAATGGGTTAGCATGTGGCCGGATGCCAGGTGAGGTGTAGCACGCGGCCGGACATCAAGCAGAGAGGTAGGGATGGTGCGTGGACAGGTGGGGACAGAGCGCCACCACCACCTCCCAGAAGCAGGGGCAGGGTGGGGCAGGAAAGCTCATCAGGCTGGGGTGAGGGCAGTGGCACCCCTCCATGGGGTGGGGAAGCTCACTTGGCTGGGGTGTGGCAGCAGCCACCACAATGTGCAAGCTTCCCCCCCCTGCAGAGAGTGCTGCAGCCCTCGCCCTGTCCCAGCCCTACCTCTGGAAGGCGGCAGTGCTCCATCCCTGCTCACCCCGCTTGTACCCCCTAAGGCCGGACTAGTATCCCCAGGGGTACACATACCCCTGGTTGACAACCCCTGGTCTAAGCCTTCAGATCATGATACTTCTCAGAGAAGTGGTTTATTATTTCTGAAGAGTTTACATAGTTCTGTACAGATATATAAAAGCAGCATCCCTACCTTAAACTGCATAAAACTTAAATTGGTAATGGCATAGAGAATATGAATTATATGCAACTCAGACAGCATAGGATGCAAAGCTTAGTCAAAAGCAAGTGAAATATTTGTGTGAACTGTTTGTTGACCTTGTTTTATTTGCTGCTCGTTAGGATCCATGGCTGTGTGTAGACAAAATGAGAGGCATGTGTGCACAACACTTGAAAGCGGGTTAAATGCTTTTGCACCACTTTAATGGTGTCAGTGTTTGTGCGCTTCAGCGGTGTATTGTGCATTAATTCCAGCCACTGTAGGAAATTTGGCGGTGTAAGGCACCTTAAATGACTTGGGGTGCAGCAAACTAAAACTCCTCCTCCTTCACTCTCTACGGCCACAGAGCGAAGCACTGGGCTGTGTGCAGCTCCACACCTCTGTAGGAAGCCCCACAGGCAGCCTGGCAGCAGCCCAGGAAAGCAAGCTCTGACCAAGAAAAGCAGTGAGCCTGATCTCTCCCCCAACCCAGAGCCTGCCTGCCTGAGCTGTGCAGGGGCCTGGTGCTTCCTTCTGCGGCTGCGGCTGCGGTGCCCCCCAGGACCACCCAAGCTGGGTGCCTGCAGGTGGCTGCCACCTGGGGGGGGGCACTGCTGCCATGGGGGGAAGCACCAGCCCCACGGAGGGAAGCTCCACCCACCAGCAGCTCGCCCTTCAGTCTCCACCAGAGAGGCAGGTAAGTCAGCAAGGTACGTGCATGACACAGGGGTTTAATCAGCCCTAAATTAAAGCAGTGTTTTTAAAACCCACCACTTCAATTTAGGGGGCCTCATTTCATCTACACATGCCCAGGAGTAAAGTTTTATTCCTACAAATGTTCTTAGACACCAAAATTGATTTAATCCAAAAACATAATTAATTTTGTGCTAAAGTAAAGGTCTTGGCACACTGAGAGCTCTTTACAGATTTTTAGCTCCTCACTAAACAATTCAAAATACTGAAAAACATTTCAGAAGTGAAACAGAACCACACCAAATTTGATGAGCACTCCAAGCCATCTTAGAGATAGGAACAAAAGTATTCTTTTATTTTGCCCCATAATTTAAGTAAATCTTAAAACTTTAAAACTCTTTGCCTGATATTTACCAAATTTCCTAGAAAATCTCTACCCTAATAGTAGATGCAATATGCAAAGTTTCAGAAAGGTTTATTTTTGTAAAAGTTGAGAGAGTCAAATGAAAAGTAGGCTTATAATGAGATCTTAATTCCAGCCTTAATTATAGAGCATAGACTGCCACCACTAGAGCACAGATGTTTATTTTGAATTTGTATAGACATTAACCACAGCAACAGCCACACATGAAAAAAACCCCACCAAACTAAAAATATCCCAGAATTACAATAGCTACTTTAAAGCTAAAGAATCCTCATCTATGCAAAAAAAATGGTTTTAGATCGTTCTAAACAGAATTAGAGGTGGTCAAGTTGCTCTTACTTACATGTTCATGTCCACCACATTCTCCGCTGCAAAATAAAATGTCTTGATCTGTGGGTGGTTGATCTTAATAGCACTTAAGGAAGGGGAAAAAAGACATACATTTTATATTCATATGTATGCATACATATATATACGAACATACACAAGAAAAAAAGAATTGACGTAGTTAAGACAATACTATTTGAAAAAATAACTTATCCCAAACTTATCACTTGTATACATTCTAGTCTATTAATAAAGAACAAAAATCTACCAATTAACTTAGCTCCTTTCTCAGAATCCTGTGCCATTTTTAAATCAAGCTGTAAGGGTCACATCATTCTAGTAAAGGTAGAAAGAACACTGGGTCAAGAGAGCTAAAAGATAAACTTGCATACATTTCTAGCATATTAATATTTTGGCTAAGTACAGACAGTCAAAAAGCACAAGGCTGAATTTATTTCACTTTTGCAGGTTAGTCTAAGATGTAGATTATACTGACAAGAAAGTGAACAGATATTCATTTTTGATTCTGGAAATGCAGCCACCTGCCAGCCATGGCCCAGGCCAGAAGCCAGAGGATGCTAGAGCACACCTCCCTGCTCAGCTGGAGCAGACAGCTTGAACCAAAGCTAGTCTACCCACCCTGCAAGAAGAGAAGAGGGGGGAGTGTGCAGGAGAGGTGCAAAGCATCCCAGGATGATGGAGGACTGTGAGTTAACTTGAATCTGGAAGGGATCTGGGGCAGAAGTTCAATAAACCGTTCCAACCTAAATCAGTTAAGTCTGATACTACTTCCATCCAGGTTTATCTTAAACCAGTTTGAGCCATTCTCAAAGTGGTTTATGTGCACTGAACTTCTGTTGTGTTACAGATTTGAACCAGTTTCTGATCATTTATACCAGGTTCATGTGTAATTTCTGTCCCTAGCTTCTGTATTTCAACCCCGTTTTGGTGCCAAAGAATTAAGAAATAATAATAAATTCCTGTGACAATAATGTAATATAGTATAATGTAATATGCAATAATATCAGCTAACTTAGCTATGGTCCATGCTTGGAAATAATTACAAACAATTCCTTAAGGAGATGCACCAACTAGAGAGAAAAAATTCAAATGCTGAATCCGCACATACTAAAAATCCATCTCAATTCCATGCCATCTCTTTGTCAGAATAGTCAACCCATTTCAAAAAATTAAATGAGAGACTAAAAGTTCATAGACCTGAAACCTGCCATAAGGAACTGAAAATTGGTGTTGTTAGATGGCAGTTGGTGGCTTATGTGAAATGAATTGAACTCTGTCCAAACAGCATACCTAGACAGTGACAGAAAGCATGCATCATCAAACTCAATGGGTGCATATACATGTGATGCTATGCTGCTGTAGCAATGCATTACAGTGACATACCATCAGTGGGCACAAAACTTGATGCCACAGCCATGTCGCCATAGCAATGCACTCCCTTGGTATAGTGTGCTGCTTTGGCAACATAGCAGCTAAAAATTACTGTGCTGCCGGCACAGCGCAGTATAGGCTGTTACTGCATCATTATTTAGTACTTCCAAAAGGAAGTACTAAATGACAGTAGAGGCACATGTAGACATGCCCAGTAAGTGACAAATTGAAAAAGAAATTTTCATCAATATAGAATGAAGTCACCAATTAAAACACTGGCAGGATGGCTTTAAAAAAATAACACTTCAGTCATCATTTCTCCATCTGTTTTTGACTAAGTAGAGGATACCAGGCATTCTCTTCTCACAGTGCATCTACATGTACAATTAATGTGCTTGAATAAACTCTGGAGCTTATTGCTCTAGAGTTTATTGCTCCCAGACGCACCACTTGAACATGCACCTGGGAGTGCAGCAAGTTGAGCTGGGATGGAGCAGCCCCAACTGGCAGAGAACCTGAAGGGAGAGGTGGGGGGTGGGTCAGCCTGCCAGCTTGGGGCTGCTCCCCTCTTCTCAGTGGGCTGCAGAGGGGCTGGCTGGGCACAAGGGTGCTTCAGCGCAGGGCTAGCCCACAGGCAGGCACCTCACTGAAGCACCCTCATGCCCCAGGCAGCCGGGACAGCATCTATATGCACAATGCTGTGATGTAAAAAACTCCACAGCAAGATAGTACCTGTATTTACAAATACTATCCTGCAGCAAAGTTAGTTAATTTATTGCAGCCTAATAGGAACTTACGTGTAGACGCATGACTTTTACTGTGCAGCTAATTAATCTAGACTCACCATCAGAATACCTGATTGCTTTACTTAAGTCACATCTTCCCCAATTTTTAAAAAGATGAAATCCTTCCTTCTTTCTCTATATTATTTGGAAAATGAGTAATGGCATACATAAAATTCCAGAGAAGAGATTACTGCATTTCTAAAGTGTAAAGTAATTTATGCTGTTTTGATTTAAAACAATGGTCTCCAACCTTTTTAAGTCAGAGATCACTTTTTGAATTAAAAAGCAACCCAAGATCTACTGTGTGCCACAACTCTCCCCCCCACATCCCACCCCTGCCCCACGGGTCAGTCTGTGGAGAGGGAAGGGGGGGCAAATCAAGGCAAAGGGAGAAAAAATTATTGGGGTGTGCACCCTCAGCAGGTAAATCTGTGGGGGAACAGCTGGGGGAAAGGGAAAGGGCCATTGCAGGGGGGCAGATCGAGGCCCCTGCCATGAGGGAGGGAGCGAGGCATAGGCAGGAGCAGGGGCTGCAAGGAGTGGGGCCCTGGCCAGGCGGCTGGTGGGACAAGTGGAGGCCCAGGGGGCATGTGCCTCCCAGGCCTCTGCTTGTCCCCCACTCCCCCCAGCCCCTGCTCCTACCTGTGCCCTACTCCCTCCCTCACCGCTGGACCTCAACCTGCTCCCACCCCACAGCAGTGAGAGAGGGAGTGTGGCTGGAGCATGGGCAGGCCCTGTATGGGCAGGGCATAGGATGAAGCCACAAATAGCTCATCTAGGGGGCATAGGGAGGGAAGGCCCAGGAGGTCACAGGGGCATGTGCCCCCAGATCTGTATGCCAACCAGGCCAGCTGCCACTGTGGGCTGGGACCAAGGCAGCACCGGGTTCTTCCCAAGGGGATCACCCGAGCTGCACTGCAAGCTGGGGCCTGTTTGTGCTGTGGGTCCCAGCTGTGCTGCATGACCAACAAAAGACACCACTGCTGAGCACTACTGCTGTTCCATTGCTGCTTTATTGCTCTGAGCTGCTGGTAAGGCAGCCTGTGTCAGCCATGTGGCACCGGGAACAGAGGCGGGACTGGAGCAGGGCAGCTGCTGGGGAGTGCCACCGCATGACCCAAGCTGCCACTCCCGGGCACCTGCCCCACTCCAGACCCGCCTCCATCCCTGGCACCACATGGCTAACACAGGTTGCCCCCAGCTCAGGACCAGCAGCTAAGAGCAATAAAGTAGCTGTGGGATAGCTGTGGTGCTCGGCAGTGTCCCACAGCTTTTCTCCAGCATGCAGCGCAATTGGGGCCCACACCACAAACAGGCCCCAGATTGCAATGCAGCTCAGGTGAACCCCCCAGGAAAAGCCTGATCCTGACCAGCATGCAGATCCAGGGCCATGCCTCCCCCTTGCCCTCTCGGGCTGCATGATCCCCCCTTCCCACACCCTGCTCATGCAGGGCCTGCCCCTGCTCCAGCCACACTCCCTCTCTCACTGCTGCTGCAGCTGCCCACACTGCCCAGTGTTTGGAGGGGGCATGTGCCCCCTGATCTGTGTGTGGCAGATGCGGCTCGAGTTGTGGGCTAGACTTTGTGCCCTGAGCCCCACTGCACCAGGAGCAGCTCAACACTACGTGCCTCCTGCTACTAGGCTGAGCCTCATCCCCTGCCCACCTGGCAGTGGGATGCACATGGCATCAGGCCACTCCTGAACCAGCTGCAGTGGGGCTCTGGGCATAAAGCCCAGCCTGCAGCAGCAGCCGCCTCTCCCCATGCATAGATCAGGGGACTTGTGCCCCCCAAAGCTTCTACTGGGGTGCATGAAGTGACAGGAACCCCGCCCCCCCACGTACTTGGATGAGCTGCCTGGGCTCCAACCTTCACCTGACCCACCCAGCTGGGACCCCACTCACCCAGTGGAAGGGGGCATGGGACACCTGGTCCACCCAGCCAGGCCTGGCAGCAGGGGGTATGGGTCAGCCCAGCCATATGCGTCCTGCCACTCCCAATTGCGGAGCCTCTAACAGTCGATTTCAGTGTAGGTGGGCTAGCCCCCCTGACTAAGATTGACTGCCAGGGGCTCCCTGATTGACTGGTAGACCGTGATCCACTGGTTGGTGACCAGTGATGTAAATCTTTCTGCATTTTGAAAACAATATTATAACAGGTGCTCAATATGGAATAATGGAAGCTAGAAAAACTCTGAGAAAACAAAATGTAATTCTAGAGTTATAGACTATCCATATTCCTTAAAACTTCACATCTAATGTCTGTCTGCAAGTCTACCCCAAGGTACTAGCCATTGTTGCAGTAGACCTTAGGGAGGAAGGTATTTTTTAAAGGCCATAATAAAGAGCACATGAGAACTTCTCATTAATATCGTTGAATTGTGTTCAGAAACACCTGAAAGACATTGCTACATATGGAGTAATGAAAAAATATACTAGGCAGTTATATGTTTAACTTAAACAAGCCTTTAAGTCCTGCACAAATGGATGTTTCCCTGTGACCTTCATGTGTAATTTAAAATAGAGCTCATTCCAAAAATCTTGTCTAAAGAATAGCCTTCATAACTATACAGGTGGAAAATAATATTGTTCATATCATTATTGACTATCCCACTAAGAACATAAGCTGTTTGTTAGATAACTGCAACAAGAAAGCCCTTGAAATACTAAAGCATTGTGCTAAAATATACTAAACTTACATATGATACTACACTACTGGCTGGATCGTTTCTGAAATGGTTTTCTACATCCCTCTCTCGCTCTCAGCCTCCTTCCCTGAATATTTTATTACTTATAAAATGGATCTGCTCCAAAAGGAAGAGAGACCCCGGCCCAGTGTACCCTACAGCTTTATGGTTAGACTCTGGTGAGATTCAAGTCCCTGTCCTGAATCAGGCAGAGTAGGAACTTGAGCCTGTCTCTCAAATCTCAGGTGAGTACCTTAAACACTGAACTACTGGCAATTCTGAGGTGGGTGTCTTTTCTCTTCCCTCATCCTACCTGAGAAAGTTTCAAAAGGTGTTGAGCTGGCCCCAATGCAAATAGTAAAATATTGGAAGTTTCTACCTGGCTCTAATTATAAATCAATATAGATTTTACCACTGCAAGGTGCACTAAATTCACAATAACAAAACTTTGCACACTAACAAAATTACACAAATTCCATGATAAACTTATTATTCGAGGCCTAGGTAAGCCTGATCAAGTTGAAGATTAGACTCAGAAGTCCATTCATGACATGCTAACTACAGCTGGGGATTTCTGTGAATTATGAATATGCCAAAATACGCAGTTTTAAGGACAAACTAGGATGGAGAAAGGGTTTAAAGTCAAACAAAGCAATTGATAGATTTAGGTTAAATCTAATTAATAGTTTTTGGCTAAAAATATGAGAGGAAAATTCATTAATGCTGAAATAAAATGTTTTATGCTAAAAAGGTCAAAACATTACCGTTTATTATTTTAACGCTTTATTTATTATTTTGTCTCACATTTAACTTAACTTTACATTATCTAAAATGTAAAAATTGTTAACAAAAAAAGTATTTTCATTTTAGCTCAAACCAAAATGAAAAAAAATTGGGAGGGAGAAGGGGTTCATTTTATTGAAGAAAACAAAACATTTGTTTCATCATTAACCTGAATTAGTAATATTTTGACTTTTTAGTTCATCCACAAAGATTGAAAAATACATTATTGGCACAGGTCTGTTCATGGCCTCCATCAAACTATCACCACCAAATCCAAATATACCTTCTACTTTATATAATCTTATTCTTCATACTTGTAGGTGAACAATACACTTACTGCTTTTTTTTGCATTCAGTTGCTCGGTCCACACTGAAATCTGGCAGATTGATGAATCCTTCCGCTTTCTCTGCCTGCAAGAGAATGTCACATGCATTAACTTATGATCAAGTGCAGGACAGGGCTGCCTACCCAAGATTATGCATGCAAGTGTACACTCCTAACAGCTTTTAATACTGTGCAAATTATTTGCTTCATGTCTGTGCAGGAAAATGAAAAACTTTCCTATAGGAAATACCTGTAATGCCAATTTTAGTGAAATGATACAAACTCTGCTATGAGTGAGTGGCTATGGATGAGAAGTAGACATAGATGTACACTCCCAATCATCAGAGCTGAAGAGGATATACAGCTACAAAGATTACTCCTCCCTTCAGCATCTCTGAACTGGCCTTTATTCAGGATTTGTGACAAAAAACTACAATATAGTCCAGTGTCAGTGATGGAAACAAATTTAAGAGTAATATTTAGACCCATATCTGAAAAGGATTAAAACTGAAGCTGAGCTGGGGAAATGCACGTGCCTTTGTAATGATCTCTCACAAATACTGCCACATATAACAGTCATCTGAGCCTCATTTAGGCAGTATGGGAAATGAAACTCAACCTTCAGCTCAAAAAAAGAGAAGCCACTTATCTAAGCTGAAAGGAAAATGTCAATATATATCAGTAGGAGTAAGAGCTATATCCTCTTTTCAGGCATGGCCTTTAGAGACAAGGTCCAGGGAGTACACACCTTTTCTGATTTGACATTCACTAAACAGATGTGGTGCAAAAACATATAGAATCCTTCTTAAAATAAAATATCTCATTTTCTAGATCTATCTTTACCTATCTAATGTTAGTGCAGCAAATAATTCTAGGAACAATATGAAAGTCCAAAAGCCTGATCTCCTGGTGAAATTAGGTAAGCAAGCATTTAAGGCTTCATTTTCTAATTTGCTCATCCTTGGCCAATTACTGGTAACTGTAATGGAAACAGAATCAGACCAACTGCGAACATTTTTTAAAGTACCACCTTACCTGAGTTGCATACACAAATTAAAGCTCAGAAGCTTACTTTAATAAGTATGGCACTAAGAATAAAAAGGTCAAATCAGTATTCAAACCCTGACTCCTTCTGATGACTTCATGGCTAAGTACAGGCAGTCAAAAAGCCTGAGGCTGAATTAATTCAATCTTTGCAGGTTAGTCTAAGCTGCATAGATTGAACTCATAAGCAAGCGAACAGACATTCACTTTTGATTCCAGAAATGCAGCCATATGCCTGCAGTGGCCGAGGCCAGAAGTCAGGGGGTACTAAACCATGCCTCCCTGCTTGGCTGTAGCAGACCGCTTGGGCCAAGGCTAACCTGTCCACTGTTAAAGGGAGGGGGACGTTAAGAGAGAAGTACGAAGCATCCTGGGATGCTGGGGGACTGCGATTTGAATTGAATCTGGAAGGGGTCTGAGGCAAAATTCAATAAACCAATTTAATCTAAACCAGCTAAGTCTGATACTACATCCATCCAGGTTTATCTTAAACCAGGTCTAGCCGTTTTCACCGTGGTTTATTTGCACTGACCTTTTGTTGTGTTACAGATTTGAACCAGTTTCTGATCACTTATACCAGTTTATGTACAGTTTCTGTCCCCAGCTCAGAAGTGTCCCCCACCATCTCATTGGGTAGCAATATTAATCAAACCAGCAATGGTACAGACAGCTCAGAGCATAGGGGGAGAAGTACATGTCTGAAAATGCTTCCTCTGCTTCCCACTAGCCGGAACGGGGTGGGGAGAGGGAGGTAGGGGGGCAATGTTGGCTCTATTCTATTCCCATTAATTTCAATTTCCACATTTCATGGGACTTCTGGTCCTCTCTGGCTGCCCCCAAAGACCTCATGTCTCTCCATTTATTGTGTTGAAGACGTGCTTTTTCCAGTACTGCAGGCCTAATCAATCACTTTTGGGGGTGATCAGAAAGTAATTTTTTCATGTTTGGCCAAGTAGCAGAGGCCAGAAGGGGGTTTCTGCCTTCCTTGAGGCATCATGGCATTAGAATGAGGTTCAAAGGAGTAGGGCTTGGAAATGTAATAGTAGAAATACATAGGACACTTACTTGATTGCAGTTTCCAGGCATTACAATCGTAAGAGTAAAATATTATTAATAAAATTTTGTTGCACCTTGCTTATTGTTGTGTATTGGGGTGTTACAGGCTAACGGGGTTAGTTCCCACAGATAAAAGACACTAGGCAAATTAGTGCACAAAAGACATTGATGGACCTTGGGCCTGTTAGCTTATACAGTGTTCATGGAACAGCACCCTCTTCTAATGCCTTCTGTGCAGCAGAAAGTATCAACCAGTGAGCAGTGGACTAGGCTGTAGGGAGCCCATATAAATGTCTGTGTAGTAGGAAACCCGGAACCTTACACTGGATCCATTTCAATGTTGGTATATTAGCAAATGTGTCACTTGGGGTAAATCTATATCACTCAATTACAGTTCCAGGAAGGGCTGGGCTGAGACACACCATGCTCACTCTATGCACATACTACATCCTCAACTGGAAAAAGCGATGACATTTTAGTGGAGTACTTTATGTGCTCACCCAGTAAGCTCTGCTTATTGAACAGCTTATTGGTATACATGCAGTGCCACAGTAAGGCAATTATCTAACTTGGGTTCTGGAGATACCTTGTAAAGCGTAATCAAGATATATCTTAGCAAGGAACTGCCTGGCACTACAACTGAGCAGGATACCCATAGTATCTTTCCCCAGTTCTGAACAACTGGAATACCATATTATATCCGTCTGTATTCCTCCGGCATGGCCTTATAAATTATGGTGGATATAAACACTTCTCTTCTATGAAAGACAGTAAAGCAGACAAATAAATGTATCTATACATTCAGGGAAAACAAATTTGTATGTTCACGTTATCCTGGTATCCTGGTAATATCCTGAATTGTTTTATTTCCAATTTTTCACCCCCTCAGTCCTAATCAAATTATACTTCTGAAAACATACACTATGTTAAAACAGCTAAACTATAGAAAGATATTTCAAAGACAGGAAATAAATCAGATATAGGAGAGGGTGAAGAAAGTTGGCAGCATCTTAAGTCACAGTGAACATGGACAAAACATGACTATAAATGGTGGAGACTCAAAAAGAGCGTTACTTTTTTATGCTTTCCAAGATTTAAACTTGAGTTGCTGAAGACGCTGAGAAAAGGTTTAGTAGAGGGTAGAGGCTTAGCATCTCTGACAATCAGTTACATTCTAATTATCACTACTGAAGTTTGATAACACATGTTCAGTGGGCATATGTGTAGTCTGCACAAGACATCTCTAAATAAATATGTATTTCAGTCAGACCAAATTGAGAGCTCTGCTAACAAAACAAACAAAAAACCCTCTCTCTTATTTTATTATGATTTTAAGGGATTTTTTTCAATCATTCAGAGTGACGGAGGAAAGTTTCATTTGAAGGACTGTTTTGCTGTTGTCGCTGTTCTATTTTTTGTTTGTTTGTTTTAAATGAGGAATGTCAGTCTGCTACTGCTGTTTTTTTCCTCTGTATTATATTTTTAAATTGTTTATTCAGAGTGCCTATGGCCCAGGTTTGGCTTTTCTGTCAATTTGTTTTAATGTTGTAACTAATTAATTAAGAGAAAAATATCAAACATGTAAAAATGAAAACCAACAAGAAGTTCTTTCAAAAATTGAATATATCAGTTGGATAACTCTCACCCTGAACTAATGCCTTCAACCCAGAAACTAGGGTGAAAAAAAGGAAAGAAATATAGGAAAGTCAGTGAAAGAAAAGGGTGTCCAGTCACTTGCTGGCTATTGAAAAATTAGAAAGAAAGAGCACAGGTTTATTGTCTGAAAATCTTTGTCACCTACAGTGTTAAGTACAATAAACACCCTGAATTTACCTTTGTATTTCTCGTACCAGCCTCTAACAACAAATGACCAAAACTCTATACAAAAGCTGCATGTGGTATCAAAGCAGCACAGAACAAACTGTTGTTCTTGGGTATTACCATTAGATTATCAAAGTGAACCTAGAGCAGTTGGTTTCTTTATTCCATCCACCCACAATTGACATACACAACATTTTTTTAAAATAGAGATGAAGAGGGTTTTAAGAAAGAACAGCTCAAATACCCACACCTCACTTACTAACCACACCCACACCTCAATAAACCAAAACTTTAAAAGTAGAAAAGACAAAACTCTGCAACCCCACAAAGTGTTGGGTAGCACCTAGCATTTATCTGTATTTACATTGTTTATCCAACATAAATTAATCAATAAATGTATAGAACCCTAGTATGTACATTCTTATAGATTTGCGGGCTCAGTGAGAGCTTTCCTCTTGGTAAATTTGTTGTAATAACATCTGCCCATGGCCCCTAAAATGTCAGCAGGAAGTAATAACTTTTCTGTCACTAGTCACATAACCCAGTTACAACTCTAAGGTGAAAGGTTTCTCCTTTAAAAGATTATTGCACAGCATCCACTGGGGCTAGGAGTACAGTTTAAATACAATTAGCCAGAACAAGAGTTAAGGATAAATACTGAGAGTATATCACCACCTGCACTCTCTTTTATTTTATTCATCAAAAGACACCCCATATGTCCGTAAGTGAGGACACCTGAATTAGGGGCAGAAATGACACATAAACTGGTATAAGTGATCAGAAAGCAATTCAAATCTGTAACACAACAGAAGTCCAGTGCCCATAAGCCACTTTGAAAATGGCCAACACCAGTTCAATATAAACTTGGATGCAGAGTTAACTGATTTACGCTAAATCAGTTTATTGAATTGATTGCCTCCAGATTCAAGTTAATGCACAGTGCCCCATCATCCGAGGATGCTTTGTACCTCCCTTGCAAGTCCCCCCTCCTCCCCTCCCCTCCAAACAGGATGGGCAGACTAGCCTCGACCCAAGCTGTCTGCTCCAGCCAAGCAGGGAGGCATGCTCTAGTGCTCCCCTGGCCTCTGGCCTGGGTCACTGCAGGCATGTGACTGTATTTCCACAATCAAAAGCAAATGTCTGTTCACTTACTTATGAGTTCAATTTACACATTTCAAACTACCTGGCAAAAACTGAATCAATTCAGCCTTGGGCTTCTTGACTGTCTGTACTTATCCCTGATCTCCAAAAGTTAGTCCAACAATTCTCCCAACTATACAGTTGGTCCAATAAAAGATCTCACAAAAGGCTTTGCTTCTTGACATTTCATGTCTACACTCGACTCCAATAATACTCCAACACTCCATGGTACCCCATGACACAATCATTGATATACCTTTTAAAGCTATACAAGAGAACCTGATTTTTGTCTCTACCCTGGAAACAAGATTTGTTTTGTTATCCTTGAGACAAGCCTTTTCTTGATTGATTAGTTCCTCTACTTTCCAGTGTACCATATGTGACAGACATGGGATGAGAGGGGAGTCTAGCATCAACATTAGTTCTGCTGACCTTTTCTTTCCCTTATCACAAGCAGAAGTAATAATCTGCTCACCAGGTTTCAGTATGAGTCCTCCAGACTATACCAAAAACTGCTAGGGGGAGGCAGAACCATACTGTGTCCCTTTTACAACTTCGTTTTTGAGGCATCAGGTAAATAAAACATCAATGAAAAGAAGAAACCAAGAAATAGATGTGCAACTCACAGCTGAGTCTGAAGCTCAGTCTGGATAAACTCCAAAATGCCTGGATGCTGTCAGAATAATTTATTAAGGTTTCTCTACCTTATTCATAAACCAGATGTCTTTCCCACCCAACCAGGTCCTTCTCAGTTCCCCAGCCTAGTCTGAGGGTATACCCAAACAGTAGTCAAGCTAGCTAAAGTACCAACAGCCATGAAGATGAGAGAGCACAGGTTGTAAAATCTTACTAAGACCATGGCTTTTTCTTTATTATTCATTCCATCCAGGAAGCGTACACACCAATTGCAGATGCTTCTTCAGCCTGATAAAGTGTATTTATACCCAAAAGTTTGCTAAGAAGAATCTTCTCAACTATTTGAGTTGGTTTAATAAAATAAAATATCACATCTCCCCAAAGAACCTTGTCTGCCTATGTTCTTAGACCAACACGGCTACAACATATACCCCTGTACTAAACCCGGGTATACATATTCAGGTCGCTCGCTCACACCGATGTGTAGGTGGCCACATCTTAACTGTAATGGAGATCACACTTCTGACAATACACTTTCTATTAAAATTGCTACGCTGTTGTCTTCAAATCTCACTCCAAGTATCCCTGATTGCACTTCTTCCTCTCTTCCTTCTTCTGTATAAGACCCAAGACACCTAAAACATAAGGACAATAGCCAAACCAACAGGAATTTCAGGAGCCTTAGAAGTTCCAAGATAGATCAAAACTGAAAGCTAAAGGTCCACTGCAGGTTGCAAAGAATATGCACCAGGACCTTGGAAAATGTGGATTCAATTACGAATTCCACCCACTGCTAATTATTCCTCAGCTCTTCTAAAAAATAGCAGTGTCCACTATCTTGCTGTTGCTATGCTACAGTTACCAGTGTCTGGTTAACACTCGTTTCTACAAAAAGATTTACAAAACAAACACTCTTGCTTCTTACAGTAAAGAACCTGGTCATGAAGAATGGGAGATAGTCCATGTAACTAGACTAAATTCAGCCATTTGAGCTCTACTCCAGACTCCCCTCACCACTCATAATTGATATGTCAATGCCTAAGAGGACTGCCATAAGATAACTTGAGCTGAGTGTTTAGAAGCTGCAGTGGGGAGCCCTTCTGCTGCATACACATTGCCTAGCAAAGAAATGCCGTCCTACTCTGTTGAAATTGTACAATATTTTACTTACTGACAGTGGAAGAAGCAATATACTCTCTCCCCTTTAGAGTGAACATATTGGATCTAATTTTAACCTCAGTTGCATGAGTGGAAGGCAGAAATTCTTCTCTGCAGAAAAACGAATTTCACCAGCTTAAAAACTAGTCTAATGCAGAAGTGCAACCATAACACCTTTTAGTAAAATCAGGAAAAATTGGAACAATGCTATGAGGTGGCCCAGAGCATGACCCCTGTATTCTGCTTCACACGTGTACAATGAGAAGCAGGAATGATTAACTGTCAGAGAAGGGGGCAATATGCACTTCTCAAAATAAACCAGGGAATGAAAAGAGTCACTCATTTATAAAATGCAATAGGCCACATGCATCTCAAGTGTAACTGAGTGACCTGCACCGGGGCTGGTTTTGACCTAATGAATGTGACATCTCCTATCTCTTCATAGTTACTATGATGCTGCCGCATACTATATTTATTCAGTGGCTGTATTTTAAGTTCTCCAACGTCACAAAAATTCCATTCAGCCTGTTCCATAAAATAATTTATAAAAGTGAATAAAAGCTAGGGACAAATAGATTATTTTACAGAAGTAAAAATAACTGATTAGTGGTCCTCAGGACTCCTGGTATGAAGCCATGGGTTATTTTAACAAACTGAGGGATGCTAGAGTAGGAGGAGATACTTAAATTTCAAATTGGCAATATGTATTTTGATTGGTTAATATTAGTTGGGATTCTGTTGCTGGCCCTTCCTGGATTTTATTTAACTGGGAGTCACTTTAGTGTAGATTGAAAGGAGAAACAATTTTTTTCCCTTGTGGCTGCTGCCCCATGGTGCAACATGGCCCATTCTTAAGATAGGGGCCTGATCAGACAAAGTCAAAGAGGGAAACTGAGAACAGCTCCAGCTGTAATATAAGACTTGTGTTCCTATTGCCATCCCCACTAGTATGTACGGTTTTCTTTCCTGCCTTATTTCCCTCTCTCTCTCTCTGGTGTAACCTGTTTAAAATCTGGCTTACCCTCCACTGTCAAAACATATTTTACAATACTGCTATGACCTTGTGCCCAGAGTAGCAGCTAAAAGCATAACTGTAAACAGCAGTTCAGATTTCCTAAATCATGGTGGTTGAAAAGAGTGTGTACTGGGCCTGCATTTCTCCAGCATCAAGGCAAGCGAGAGTCAGCAGAGACAAAAGCCACTTTTTCTATCTTTGTCACCTCTTCGTTTCTGTGTGTGCTTGCTTTGTTTTGTCTAAAAAGGAAGCAGGAACAGACTCTGTCAACACCACAAACAGCAGTTCCAGACTGCCTCAGAGAATATCTTCTTTTTTCCCCAAAAAGGACTGCTAACACAATCTTTAAATACCTTGGAAAAAACTGTCAAACACAGCTTTCTTCCTACTTTATAGCCGAATGGGGAAAAGAATATAGGATCCTGTTCAAATAAAAAAGTTTTATTTAAATATTTTGTATTTTTTCTGCAGTTTGGGGTGAAAAAGACGCTTAATGTTGATTGTAATGTTAAATATCGTTACAAATTACTCAACACAAAACCCCAAATCACTCTTTACTGTTTAGATGTTGTAACAGTGAATGAGGGTTTCATTAGCATTTTCTCCTCGCCATCCTCTTTTCAAACAATGGCTAGTTGAGCATTTAGAAAATCCTATATATGTTAACAATTAAGCATTTAGGATGTTAGTTCCTGCCCATGAAGATGTTATAGTCACCTAATCCTCTTAACTTCCCAAATTCTGGACTTCTTTAAAGCAGGTATCCATAGCAAACTAGGGTAGGAGCTCTGGGGCCAGATCTCTGGACACTTATGTACAAAAAGAGTAGTACGTGCAAAATCCTAGCTCTACCTCGTGAAGCAAAATCACAAACAATGTGATATAATTTCAGTTGCTCTCCAGTATCTACAGTGCCCTCACACACAAGCCATAGACTTTCATTAAAAATCTAGGTAAAGCATCCACAAAACATCTTAGCTCAAAAGCACCAGGGCTGAGTAAATCTGTTGCGCTACAGATCACCTGACGGTACATTTCAGCAAGACTCTTGTGTGGGATTCCATCTTTGCTTTCTGACAAGTATTTTTGTTGCTCATTATTTCAGTTGATCACAGGAATCCAAGGGCTGCTAGGTGTCTCTGCCACAATTTGCTTTCACAATCCCATTGTCATGGAAGCAGGGCTGCTGGCAAGGACTGATATGCACCAAGATATACTGGCTTGTTTGAGGGAAAACTCATCTGATCTGAAAGCTGGCTGTTGCTCTTGGAAGGGCACTGCACTCCTGCCAGTCTGTCCCTCTATCACTGTCACATCAGCAAATGGGCTACAAATTCATGAGACACACAAGACAGTCTAATTACAGAGCACTGAATGCAGCAACAGCAAGACAAGAGTTAACATAATCATGAGCTGGCAAAGCGATGACACCTGCTTCCCTCTCAAATCATTACAAGAGCTAAAGACAGGTCAGATGCAGTTCATGCTGGAGGTGGGGGAAAACTGACAGTCCTCCTATGAAAATTAAGCTAATAATTCAGCTGGTGAGAACAGAAGGAAAGGAGAGTATGCCCCCCACCCCCAACCCATTAGAATCAACATTTAAGTAAGCCCTTATGGTAAGCATCTGGCAAATACCTTCCACTATTTAAACAACAACGAAACCTGAAAAGAGCACCTCTCAAAGGAACAGATTATGCAACAGGTCTGTGTTTCCCGTGTGCTTCTAGAACTAAATAATGAAGCAGAAAGAGGACAGAGCCTGTCCATTTTACAAGAAATCTCCTGGCTGATAATTAATTCCAATTATTTATATATCTCCATTTATATTTCAGTTTGGCCCCAACCCTTCTTTTTCCCTGGTACCAGCAGTCCCTGCTTAAGCCACTTCAAAGAGGTAGAAGCTTATTGTACTCACCAGTTGGCTGCTGTACCAATATAACGATGACCCTTTCAGCACAAACCAGAACTTTTTCCATTTGTTGCCAATAAAAGCTCCTTTCTCCTTTTTCTTGTAGAGCCACCCCTGGCAATCCGGTAGTCCCAGCTCTTTACATGATATCCTCCGTCGACTCATTATACAAATCCCTGTGCACATAAAATAAATATTTTGCTCATTTAAACGTGCATTACTAAATAAATTAAAATGCTTATTAAAGGTATTAGTCTGCATTTGCCATATTATTAAGTCATCCAAGTGTCTCTTTAAATGCACGCAAGTCATTCAGTTTTGTCTTATGCAGTAAATACATTCATTTAGAAAACATTATCACGCACAGCTACAAAAAAAAAGATATTCTCAGAAAGCAATTACTGACTACACTTAGCATAACTGTACACAAAGATAACATTAACGAATGTAAAATAAAATGCACTAGGTAAACATGCATAGCACTCTTCACACAACTGCATTAGGAAACAATAGATCTATTTAAGTCACAGCTAGTGAGGAGTAGCATCCAACTAATGAAAAGCAGTGTCTGTGTATGTGCATGCCTCTCTCTCTCTCTCGTCTCTCTCCAAAATCCCCAGCTCTGTCTCTATTGACATACCACAAGAGCTTAGCCCAAATGAAAAGCATGTCGTCATTTTGTCAGAATCAGTGCAAAAATAAGCAGAGTTACAAAGCGGTGGCATAAAACCCACCGACTAAACAGTGGCACAAAAACCTCAACCTCCCATGAACAAGACACACCGATATAAAAACAAATGAAGAACAAGAAAAGATCTCATTACCTTGACTTTTCTTTCTTGTCTTTTGACGCAAGGGAACCTGCAAGAAATGCAGGAAGGAAAGAAAGAGGAAATTTCAGATTGTGTTGTAACATTTGTAAAGACAGGGGGGAGGACACTGAAGGTGGTGTTGCTGTGTGTGTGTGTATATACGTAGGACGGAACCTAAAACTCACTTGCAACTAGCAGGAAGGTACTAGCTAAAGCATAAAATATGTTAATTAAACTTGCTGAACATGTACTTTAGCGAGAAGAAATGTAACACGTATCTATCTACTAGGGCTTCCTGTTTGGCACCCACAAGCAGCTTGTCTTTTTGTGTTTTTGCTTGAATTAAATAGTGGTCTATGAAGTTAAAAAGTTACACCTGCAATGTTTAAGCCTTATTTACACTTTAATCATCATAATTACCAATGTAGGGGGAAGGGTGTCTTAGATGTTTTATTGTTTTTTGAGCACAGTGCTTTACAGGCACAACTGCAGATAAATGATGAAGAAGTTATTATACTTTATCCCTTTTTATTTCTTGTACTCATGAAGGGCAAAATACATATTCTATAAAAGGTTGATAAAATGTATTGCAAGGAGGAAGCTTCTGTGTCACAAAATAGCAAAAACATAAAAATTATTTGGCAGATCTTCATAAATGGAATGACTAAATTTGCTTAAAGTTTTATATCTCCCTATGTCTAATTAGTCATACCAAAAACAGTATATTTTAATTTAATGCATTAATTTGTATAATGTACATACCCATATATTGATCTCGGATCAAAAGTTTTATATGGAAAATTAATTTTACTTACTCTCATTTTCTCTATTTTATGGTAAGATTAAGAAATAGGAATGAGAACACAGGCTATTAGGAATTAGAAGTCCTGAGTCCTGGTCTGCTGTGTCTCCTTGCCTCAGTTTTTCTATCTATCCTTTTAAAAATACTCAGTTCTTTAGATTAAAAAGTTTTGTCTTGGCACATGGAAGCAATGGAAGCAATGAGACATAATTAACAGAGTGATATCCACCTGATAAAATGTAAAGCTATGTTATGAATTAACATATTGTATTCTTCATAGATTTCATAGACATTTGGGCTGGAAGGGACCTTGGCAGATCATCGAGTCCAGCCCCCAGTACATTTTCTTCTGACTGAAGAAAAGTAGAAGGCAGGGTAGATTTGTACTTTATAGACCAACCAAGGTAGCTAGGTAGACAGAACAACAGAATGATGCATAGATAGATAGATAGATAGATAGATAGATAGATAGATAGATAGATAGATAGATAGATAGATAGATAGATTCGATCAATCAAGCTTTCATGAGCTCATTGGGCTTTGCAACAGACCCAGATGTGGAACAAGAAATCATTCACAGACTTATGTTAAATATGTTTTAAACAGGGATTATCGGTTGTGATCTCACTACCTGGATTAGCTTTTGTGACCCCTTTGTTCCTAATTTATTGCTTGCCCCTTGTTACAGATTGCGCTTTGAGCTGCTTAAATGTTAATCAGCGTTAGTGCTAACTCAGGTTTGGAGGAGTCACACCTTAAAGCTAAAAACCTTCTCGGACTGTCCCCCACTTATACAGCTATGAGTTGCCACTACAGGGCTAGTGAACCAGGACAGGCTTCTATCTCTGCTCTAGGTAGGGTGTGAGAGATGTGTTGGAATGGTGGGAGTGGGAACATGAAGCTGAGAGGCAGAGTATTAATGGGATGGGTGTGAGTAATAAAATGGCAGGTGGAAATAAAAGGAGGGTGGGGGAAGGGTGGTAAAATGAAGCAAGTCAACCACTGAAGGATAAAGAAAAAAGAAGTAAAACCAAAAAAAATTAAAAAGAAAAAGAAATAAAGAGGAAATAAATTAAAGGTCTCATGTCTTAATAAATTGGGATTTGGGATTGAAGTGTGGAATTTGCTGATTGTCTTCCTGAAGTAGCTAGGAGGTGGGAGTGGTGATAAAAGACACTTTTTGGGGAGCTACTGCCCCTGCCCAATGAATGAAGCCCCAGCTCATGGGAACCCAGTCCAGCCCCCTACATTGTTCTCCCTGCCCCACCTGCTCTTGACCCCACTCCTGGACTTGTTCATGCTCTGTGACCTGGCTCGCTGGCACGTGGTCTACAGACTGTTTGCACAGGCTTGCACCCAATGGGGTAGGAACATCTTGCCTCTGGGGGCAAGAGGGGGAGTTGACTTGGTGCCCATGGACAGTAGAGTTCAGGGAGCTGAACAGCTCTCCACTTAGAACAACCCTTAGGAGGGTTGGGGAGATGATACTGCATCCTGGGATGCTGGAGGACTGCAACTTGGGCATCTTATCTGTGAAGAGTGGCCACACATTAATGAAACACAAGCTGGGTAACACGGATCAAAGATAAAGCTGTCCTGGAATGGCATAACTTTAAGCTGCCTAAAGTGTGCTTAAAACTAGTTTCAGGTGTTAATTCATGGACAATCCAGGTATTAAGAGTTCCAGAAGCTGCCTAAAATTAATATGTAACAAGGTCCCTTGTTCATTTGTCTTTCCCAGTGCTTTGGCTTTTTGTAAAAATTATTTGCCTTATATTTTTAGTACCCAGCTTGTTTTTCTCATCTGCAGACAAAATTACTTTTGAAATAAACGAAGTAACAGTGTACCGTATTAACACTGGGCAACGAAAGACATGTGATAGCAGCTTTTCGATGCCCTGTTGTCCTTTGCATATTTCCACTCATGGGATTGGCACTTTCTGGCATAAAACAACTTTTCTAGAGGATAATATCCCACCAGACACTGCTCTGTAGAAAATTGCACAGCTCAACAACAGGAGGTACCAATTTCACAAGTGGGAGTATGAAGAGGCCACCCTCCTAAAAATACAATTACCTGTAGGTAACCTCTCTGTTTTGGTCATCAGTGAGTTTGCAAAGAGCTTGCAAACTAAGACAAATCGTGTGTGTGTG